AAACATATATTTGAAGTGCGGGAGAAAGCTATACAACTTGAGAAATCAACACAGTTATGAACTCCACCTGGGCAGTTTAGGCAGGCTTCGTTTTCGCAGCTACCTAAGTTGCGTTCATAAAGGTGATGATCGTTCACGTTGTATGTTTAAACAAGAGAAAAGAAAATCGTGTGAACTAAGAGTCATTTTTTCAGGGTTAGTCGAGTGGGAAAGCACGCGAAAACCATCTCGAACGAAACGCAACGGGCGGCGGCCACAAAACATTGCCGCAGCTCTTTAATTATTTCAGGACATTCTGGAGTAAATCATTGATCTGTTGAACTAACCGGCTTTCCATCAGTGAGGAGATATATCCCTTGCACTTCTAAATCCTCAAATGCCAGCTGAAAGAACAAGATTAGAACATTTTAAATCAAGCTTAGAATTATAGACGTCAACCAATTGTTCCCGTCCAACAGGCTCACCACTAGCGAAAAGTACATTTCTTCCTTTAACCCAAAATGAGTCTGCACATAGACAGTGTTAAAGACTACCGTCTTGTCATCATCAGGATACGTCATGTTGCTTAGCAACATTCTTATCAAAAATCGCGGGCTTAATAACTGTCATAGTCAAGATTACGACCGTAATAGTTTGTCTAACTTCAACAGAGAAAAAAGAAACTTGATTAACAAACTTATACTGACTTAGCCTAGAACAGAGTACTTGAAGCGCAGCTTCTCCTAACATGGCGCCGCTTTATGGAATTCTCTGCCTCAGGATCTTACAGAAAGTAATTCTCTGGGGGTTTTCATAAAGATCATCAAAGCCCAGTTTTCCTTTTTGGGCTCTCACACGGCAATCATGTAAAACAGTCGATCTTTGCACGTTCTATTACAGTAAGTATATTTTTTATATTAGTTTGTAGCTGACGATTTTCCGAGTATAAAGGAAATAAAAAAAAAACTAAAGCATACCTGAAGGGCACTTAATGTACTCGTGCTTCCATTGGCGTCAAAATCCGAAACCCATTCAACTGCATCTTGACAGCTGTCATCTGATGTCGACGTTAAGCTTGGTTTCCATGAAACCACCTCCGATGCAAAGCGGATGAGATTGAACCTGAAGGTGAACGTGAAAGACTGGGTCAAATAACTGACTTCCATGTGATTGAGACAAAGCAAAAGTATGGTAAAAAAACAAAACTAGGTTGATGTTACTTCTTCTAC